GACAAATCTGATGGCTCATGCCCAGGGGCGCATTTAAGATTTTCTCGAGAGGGAGGGCGGATTTTCAAAAAAATTCGAAAATTTTGTTTTACCTTTATTTCTTTTAGATCGACTAAATTGATTTTCCAGAAAAAAAAAACTTTTTAAAAATTTTGAAGAAAAAATAGGCCGAAAAATTTGATCAAAACAGCATTTTTTCGGCGCGCGCGGCTAGCGTTTGTTCGGGTCAAATCCCTAAGGGGAGTAGTTTGTCCACCCCCTGCCCCCTTCCTAAATCCGCCCTTGCTCATACCTAGCTTACTAATTTTCTACAGGATCGTATAATTCTCTAATCACACCACGCACTAAAAATGACACTAATTTGCAAAAAGTATAAAAAAAACTATTTTTCTATTTTTTTAAGAACGTGGTGTGCTTCTTGCTTTAATCCTTGTTTTAATTTGCAGTATTTTCAAAAAACAATATATATTTTAAACTCCAATAAAAATACCCGGAGAAAAAAAATGGGCGCACTTTCAAACTATTCGAACAATGGTGTATAAAATGTTTGAGAAGGATCAACATTATATACAATACGTGTCCTTTAATTCAATAACATACAGTTTATCACCGTACAATATCACACTTAGTCATTTCACTACTGAACAATTTCAATCGACAACAATATAACACAGTACACTTTAACACAGTATCTCCAGTTTTTTACAGTACACTTAAACGCTTAGTCATTTCACTCTTAAAACTAATGCTGTATGAATTCCTTATCTTAACACTTATCACACCAAAGTTCATCCTGCAATTAACGCACGCACCATGATGATAACTTGGTTTATCTTAGTTATACATGCTAAAAGGAGGCTTCCTAAATTACTTAAGACTCTTATCAACAAGTTTGTAGTTTATTTTCAACTAGACTTTTCGCTAAACCATTATGATCACTAAAAAAAGCTGCTTGTGCTAATTCATAACAATTTGACGTAAAAACTCTGACAAAAATCACATTCTGACAATCACTTTATACTTTACTCAAGTGATAAACTAACGCAAACACAATAAACACATTATGATTGAGTCTTCTTTCGAATTCACAGTTTCATCTAAAAACCAGCCATTTCTTATCGTATTCAGCCACTAATTTTATTTCAAGCAATAAAAGAAGCTCACCGAAAACGGGTTTTGCTCCAAATATCAAACACATAAATGTCGAGCAACTGCCATTACTGAAAATAACGTATTAACCGAGACGCGTGGAGAGCATAACCATGACACTTCAGCTGGAACATTGGAGGTCCGAAATGTAATAGAGCATATAAAAGATCTCAGCGAGAGATTTACCACGACTGTTGCAGTTGCCAGTGCGGTTTTGCCAGTTTCAAACGATTTGGCTACTTAGAGACAAACTAATTCGAACGGCTGCGCGCATTCGTAAGCAGCTAGATGTAAATATGCCGCCCATCCCCGTTGCGCAAATTCTTGAGATACCTGAAACTTTGAAAATTTTTATCCGGTATGACAGTGGATCAAATTATCATGAGCGAATCATTTTGTGCGGCGACCCCGAAATGCTGAGAAATCTGGAGAAGTCAACTTTCTGGTTAGCCGATGGAACTTTTAAAATTACTCTAAAAATGTTCTATCAACTATATTCAATTCATGTTAGTGTATCTGGCATTGCGCCAGCTTGCATTTACGCGTTCCATCCTAACAAAACCGAAAAAAAACCCACAATCGCTTCTTGCAGGCGTTAATTGATTTAACACCCTACGTTCGGCCTGAAAAAAAAAGAATTGGGTGTTAAAGTCACCGTCGAAACGAATCACGATTTAGCGCAGGCTTCAGAAATGCCGCCATCCCTCGCATTCGAAAAGAAAGAAAAGATCGGCGATTCCTATGACATGATCGTTCAGGAAATTTAGAATGTATGCGACAGAAATTGTTTAGAACCCGAGAAAATTGAGAAAATTGACGAGTTTTGTCTGTACTTTGGCTCTACTTATATAAAAGCTCGGTGCCAATCCGTGAAGTTTTGTTCCCTCCCTCCCTTCGGAACCAGCGAGATGTGGCCGTGAGTGGGATTGCTCGAACAACAAATGCTGCCGATGGATGGCATTTCGGGTTTCATTTTGGTTTGAAACTTTTGAAACAAGTTGTGTCTGTACTTCGGCTCTACTTATATAAAAGCTTGGTGCCAATCCGTGAAGTTTTGTTCCCTCCCTTCTTTTGGAACCAGCGAGATAAGGCCGTGAGTGGGATTGCTCGAACAACAGATGTTGCCGAGGGATGGCATTTAGGGATTCGACCTTAATTCAGCGGAGCCCACCCAAACTAGTGGAATGGGTAGTAGTGCGCAGCCTGCAAAAAGACGCTTCCGTACAAAAATTCACTTTTTTGATGCATCGAGTGGCCATAAAATCAAAAAAAAAGAAAGAATATCGAGTATTAAATGAAAGAGTAAAAAAAATAATGTCCGTTTACGAAGACAAAACTGATCTGTACTTTTTCAGAACGATGTCTAATTTGTGTTAAGCTATTGTGAATTTTGTATCGTTTTTGTTGATTGTTTCGTATTATTAGAATTTAAATGTTAATCCTACTGAAAATTGTGTCAGCTTTTTTTGAAAAGACGTTTCCTTGCAGACTCCCGGAAACGTAACTAAACGCAAGAACTTGACTCGTGCTTTAGCAATTTGTTCCCAGGACAATCGAAATCATTTTTGGGATGCTAGGTTGGGACTACGGGCTGGTATACTATTTAGCTTTGCGTTTATGTGCCAACAGTTCAAAAAAAGCTGACAAAGCGATCAAGTCATAAGTTTAAGTTCGAGAATGATCCTAGAAAATATTGATTTTTGAGGCTTTTGGCATTGGTTAAACCTTTTTTAAATTTCCATACCAGCTGAAATTGTCTAGAAAAGTAGGCCATATTAGTTAAAGGACGTCTAATTATTTGCGGGCTTTTGAAGTTCATTGAACTATTGCTTTTTTTTGTTCATTTTGGAATGATTCATTGAACTTATTGGCAAGGCCATTTCATTTTGGTCTGAAACGTTTCATTGAAATCATTTGCACGGTCAGTTCTGTTCAAAACGCGAATTAAGTAGCGCGAATTTGTCTGGTTTTAATTGGCAAAAATTTCTCTCATTTAATTCTTTGATGTTTACCGAAATTCCCTTTTAAGTAAGTTTTTTTTTCTTTTTGGGTTAAAACGGTATTGAGTCATAGAAATTGTTTTAAAAGGTAGTGATGTTAAATTGCTAAGGCAACAAAAAATAGATAGTGAAATTGTAAGGTGTTAAGTTGTTTAGAGTTTTAAAAAGGAAACGATACAATACGGCTATAAAATCTGAGTTGTCGTTGATATTAATTTCATGTGAAAGTAATTGCGTTGTTTCAATGAACAATTATATATACCGTATCGTATCTATTTGCGGATCAACCGCTTACAAATCCCCTAATTAGTTCAGGGTGGAAGTAATATTGACTTTCCTGAAATTATCTTTGATGGCAACATAAATCGATCTAAAGTCTAAAAAACTTGAAAAATCATTCAAAATTAAATGGTTATCAACTGTTTAAAATAGCTATTCCGAATCTAACATTTTCTCAAGCAATATATTCTGGTCGCTTGCTCGAAGTGCATATTTACACAAAATTAATTTGAAAAATATTACGTGGCTGGGGGAATGTCTACGGTAGGTCAGTTAGAGTGGATTGTAGGGTTGATCCCATAATTTCTATCTAAATCTGGAAATCTATTGTAGTTTTTCATTTCATTGAGTATAAGGTTGAAAACAAAGTTAAATTTTTTTCCGCGATGTAATGATTAAAATCAATTCACCCTACTTTTTAAATAGGTCGTTCATCAATTAATGAAAATATATTTATAAATTTGCTAAGACAATAAAAAGTATGGAGTGAAATTGTAAGGTGTTAGGTTGTTTAAAGTTAAAAAAGGGAAACCATACAATACGGCTACAAAATCTGTGTTGCAGTTGATATTTTTTTCATGTGAAAGTAATTGCGTTGTTTCAATGAACATTTTTAATTACCGTATCATATCTACTTGCGGACCAACCGCTTACAAATCCCCTATTTATTTCAGGGTGGAAGTAATATTGACTTTTCTGAAATTATCTTCGATGGCAACATAAATCGATCTAAAGTCTAAAAATCTTGAAAAATCACTCAAAAATAAATGGTAATCAACTGTTTAAAATAGCTATTCCGAATCCAACACTTTCTCAAGCAATATATTCTGGTCGCTTGCTCGAAGTGCATATTTATACAAAAATAATTTGAAAATTAATGCGTGGCGCTGGGGGAATGTCTACGGTAGGTCAGTTAGAGTGGATTGTAGGGTTGATCCCATAATTTCTATCTAAATCTGGAAATCTATTATATTTTTTCATTTCATTGAGTATGAGGTTGAAAACAAAGTTAAATTTTTATTCTTCGATGTAATGATTAAAATCAATTCACCCTACTTTTTAAATAGGTCTTTCATCAATTAATGAAAATGTATTTACAAAATTTGATTTGTTTTTCTGAATGAAATTGACAACTCCAGTGTTCTCGAAATTCAAATCTTGCAAGAAACTTAAAAAAAAAAACATTTTTGCTTATTTTTTGCTAAATTCTTGGTAAGCTCAGTTCCTTTTGGTAAACTGAGTGCCTATTGAAGTTTCTGCTATTCTCTAGCAGATACTCAGCAAAAACTCACAGCGGAGATTGCTGGATTTTATTTCCTCTAAGGCGAACGCAATATATGAAACTTGTAAAAATGCATGCAAAGTCAAAGTTTCTTTATGTATTTACATCATTTTAGCAAACATTCTCAAAATAGGTAGATTCGAATTATAGTTAATAAAACTTAATTGAGTATGTAATCAGAAATTTCTTTACCGCCATTTAATTCTTTTATGATTCTTGCAAAATTTGCATGTCATAAGTACACTTGGGAATGACACATTTATTCTAGTGTTTCACATTTTTAATACACACTAATTTACATCATAGCTGGCATAACTGGACTTTCCAAGAGTGATGCCACAAGCAACCAGCAGTGCCATCAGCAGTTCGTTTTCTGAAAACAAACAAACCAACAGGAAGAGATAGTTCGGATCTAGATCTACTCAATACTCATAATCCCCCCCTTTTCAAGAAAGAGGGAGATTGTAAATAATATTAAATCAGCAATTTTCTGACCCATCATGCGACAAATTCGAATTTTTCACAAGAAAGCTGTAGTCCTAATTTACTGTTTTTACATAGGAGGGGGATTTTTTTGGTATATACCATAGTCGCAAGAGTTCGTGAATTCAAGGAAAACAAAAAAACGGCCTTTTGTCTATATCATTTTTCGAGTTCGTAGATTATGGGCCCATGTGAATAATCTCTACCCCCCTTACTACCCATTGAACGACGCCCCTAAAAGCTTAGATATATTTCGTTTAGCTTCCGGGGACGCTCAGTGTCCCAGAAAGCTAAACGAGAAATTTAAAAAAAAAGTTAGAGCGCAAAAAGCTGAATTCTGATTGGTTGAAAAAGATTGCTCTTCTCTTAACCGAGTGAATTATCTCTTTTAAATTGACAGAGGGGGGAGATTGCTAACTTGGTCCAGGTTAAGCTAAGTCACCTTGAGTCGCTTTCAGTTTCAACAGGTGGTGAAAGGAATTTTTTGAATAAGTTAAACCAATTGGAGCAAAGCTTATGATCAAGAAACAATTCACCTGGTTACAATTAAAACTAAAGATCACAAAGAGAAACTAAGAACTAAACTGTATATCTGTATATTTGGGGGTCTTTTCAATCATTGAGCTCATAATAGGGCAATCACAGTGTTTTTTAAGATGAGGGCTAAAGGGCTATAATGGGAAGAACACAACTGAAATCACGTGGGTCATTTTATTTTTAAAAAGTCGTCTAAAATGAAGGTCAGTAGTATGCATATAGTGCGTTAGGATCTGGGGGGGGGGGGGTTGTCATACATGGATGACCATTAGGTATAAATCATAATGGTCACCATGTATTAAATGATCAGCAATGGTCACCATGTAATAATCCTAATTGTCACCATGTATAATTTTATAACTAATGGTCACTATGTAATAATCCTAATTGTCACCATGAATAATTTTATACCTAATAGTTCTCATGTAAAACTTCGGTATATTAATGAGTATTCCCACTGAACGTTGTGGAAACGGGAATGGAATTAAGTTTTGGTCGGTGCATGTTTTCCCTTCTAAAGTTTGAGGGTATTGGCTTGTTTACATGTAAAATGACCTTATATACCTATTATATGCGACCAAACTATATAGTATATAGGAAAGCACAAGATTTTGGCAGCGTAGCTTAACTGTTGGCTGCGGTGAACGATTTCCTTCAAAAATGCATGTTTTATTGCTGAATCTCGAAGAAAGCAAAATTTGTCAAGTGCGGCGGCCGCCACCTCTATTTAGGCAAAAATTATTAATCAATTTGACCGAAATAAGAATGACAAATTTCAGCCAAATCAAGGTAAAAACAAAGTTCAGCCAAATGAAGGTAAAAACAAAGAAAAATTGAAAACACTGAAAACTCTAAAATAAGGAAATTGGCTTAAAAGTTTCGACATTTCCATTTTCCGTGTCTACAGGAGACTGAAAAAAGGTCTAAAATTTATGACAAAAGCTTTGATTTTATAGAAAGGTTGAAAGAGCTAATAAGTTGAAGTGGGTAAAGATCTGGAAAAACGAGAACACTGATGAAAGCCAAAAGTGCCCATTAATTTTGCTGCAGCCATTTCTAAGACTTGCATATACCACTTTTTATAATAAAAAGGAAACAATTTTCGGGGCTTCTAGAAAACGTCTAGTATTTCCTATTAACTTTTTTGTGCTAACAGAAATTGTGAAAATATTCATCAGAGCGGACCTAGAAACTTGGGGAAAACTGTTATTTGTGTGCCAATATATACGACAGAACAGAGTGACCATCGAATAAAGCAGGTGAAAAGTTATTTGCGACTTTTAAGGAAAGCAGTTATTCAAATTAGAGCAAATTCAATCGGGAAAGACTGAACACAAACTAAGACAACTTATGGATACAAACTCAAAACTTGATATGAATTCAGAGTTATAGTTTGAGCATCCAAAATTTTTGATTTTTCCATTAAAAGAATATGCAATTAAATAATTTTTAATTTGATACTACAATCTAATCAACTGTTCTCACTAACTTCTAATTAACTCAATTTGGCTTTAGCAAGAGCTTTCTATTCAAAAGTTTGAAGCGCTATCAGTTATTATCATTGACTAACCTTCTGCTCAACAAATTAAATTTTGAGTTTTTAAATATAAATCTGATCTTTTGAATGTTTCCATGATTACGCTATTGTCTCTCAAAATACGGTGGATTTTTGACCAAAATATTCGATTATTCATCTGCAACTAATTGTGTTATCAAGAGTTCAACCTTTCTCTCAATATATGCTTGAGGTGATCACTACTAGCAGTATCAAAACAGTTCGCATCATGAAATTTCTTCTCATTTTTGCATCGATATTTGTCTTCTCTATTAACAAAACATGTCTTCGAAAAACGGTTAGTTGTTTGAAATTTTAAGATAAAAAATCAAGCCTTATCATCAACACTCTACCTGAATCTTCGGATTCCGTCAGGATGATAGCTGTTTCACACTAAACAACGCTTTCACACCAATTTGGCTACAGCAGTTTCCGAAAACTTGTAAGTGCCATTTTGTAGTTTCAATGCATTTCGATAAACGTCAATTATGTTGTGTTATCTTAAGCTAGAACGACTAACAAAGACATGTTTAATTTGACAATAAAAAGTTTGTTAGACAGTTTTACTTTGAGGAATTAAAATTTTGAGCCTCAATGCAGAAAGACTTGCTATTCATTTCAAAGAAAAAAGGCGTAAGCATTTTGTGCTATTTCATAAAAAGCTCTATCGACTAAATAAATCTTGAATTTAAAAAAGTGGTACTGACTTTTTATCTGATTACACAATTGCTTCACTTCTGTGGGTTTATAACTTTGATTCAAAATTATGATTTTTCAAATGAAACCCATTGAAAATTTGTGACTTTTAGAGATTGATCAATCATCCTTCAAATATACAGTACCTGTCACTGAGAATTTGCTCGCTTACCGTCTTCAGCTCTACCAGCCGCATGTCTGCACGATCAATGATTTTCCTCAATAAACCATAAATTTTTTCTAATAAGTTTCTTATCGTAATTTTTACATCTATGAGTAACAGTTCATCAAACACTTTGGACTCCATGCTGTCTCCAATTGGACTTGTTGTGTGATGCTTCCATCGACAAAATTTTGTGAAAACTTGAAAACTGATCTTTCTTGTTAAAATTTTGAAATATTTTTCATAATCATTGACTGCAGATAAATTGAAATTATCAATGCAACATATGCCACTTTTTCAAAGTTAAATGTTCATAATGAGGATACCTGGAAGATCAAATATTTCTACAAATTGTACACTTTTACATAGATACATACAGTTTACATAAATAGACACACACGCAAGTTTTGCTTACATACATGCAAAAATTTCACTTATTAGTTCTGCTGACCTTTAAAATACAAGCACATGTAAACACACAAACCAACTTGCATTCACTTCACACTTTCAAGACAAATTTATACACACATTCAGGCAAAAAGAATCACGCATTACAGACTGGCATTCATATGTCTTTACATAAAATCATATAAACGTGCCTTTCATACTCATATACGAATATGTATAAGCACTTGCCTACAAAAAGACATGGAATGTACTTTACAAGCATGCAACTACTCATGTGTACACACTTTCCGTTTCAACAGACATAAAACTTCAATCATAAGTTTGTACAATTTGCAAACCAGCTAACTTTTAAAAGCTTTTAAACTGAAAAACATACATTGATACAAAATAATTGCTGGTCTTCATTCACTCAATCAAGCGGACTGGCATTCGAGAACTCTTATTTACATAAAAACATACAAATATACATAACTTCTAAATACTCAAATGAATACACACAAATAGTATGTGCATACATGATTAATTGCATTTATACATGCAAAAAATTGTACACTTTTTCATAGATACATACAATTTACATAAATAGACACACACGCAAGTTTTGTTTACATACATGCAAAGATTTTACTTATTAGCTCTGCTGACCTTTGAGATACAAACACCTGTAAACACACAAACCAACTTGCATTCACTTCACACATTCAGACAAAAAGAATCACGCATTACAGACTGGCATTCATACGTCTTTACATACAATCATATAACCGTGCCTTTCATACTGATATACGAATATGCAGAAATACTTGCCTAAAAACATACATTGGTTGAAAAAATATGCTTGTATTCATTCACTCAATCAAGCGGACATGCAGTCAAGAGTTATTACTTACATAAAAACATACAAATTTACATAACTTCTAAATACTCAAATGAGTACACACAAACAGTATGTACATACATGATTAATTACATTTATACATGCAAAAAGTTGTGCACTTTTACATAGATACATACAGTTTACATATTTACACACATACGCAAAGCATATGTGCGTACATATATACTATGCTTATAGTATCTTGTCTAACTTTCAAGAAAAACTAGAAACATTAGTAAAATTCAAGTTGGGTTATAGTTATTCTTCTAGTTACAATTGTTTTGGTTTACACGCACATAAGGAAAAAAATTGTACTCATACTTACAAACAGATCAACTTGCATACATACACACATACACAAAAAGTATTTTTTCTTGCATTTGTTTATAGATTACTAGAAATATTCACACAAAAATGTATTCATTACGTTTTACGTATGAATATATTCAAATACAGTCAAACCTACATACACACTTTGATTTTGACAATGCAAACGTCGCAAGCAGAGATTTGCAAAGAAATGCCAGCTTTCAGCCAACTCATCTACACCATTTAGCAATGTTGTTCATCTTTGAAAAAATAAAAAAGGGCGATAAACAATTTTTTAATATGTCTGTTGATCTCCCAAACGAATTTTCCAACGGTATCAAACTT